TTTTGTGTTGTCACATAATATAAACTTTATGTTTACCACATAAAACCCATTTGGTAGTACATGGTTCGACTTATCAGTCAATTTTTTTGTCAAATTATTTTAAACCGGCCATTTTAATTAAATTTTTAATAATAAAAATAAGTGAGGTTGAAGTTACTTTTCTGATTAAATTGATTCGGGTTGTTTAGAGCTAGCTATTTTAGCTTTCATGTGTCTTTTTCTCGAGATTACTACATCTGTCCTTTTATAATTGAGGGTGTAGTGTGGTAAATAATTAAGAAAATTAAAATTATGTGATTATTATTTAATTTATAAAATATGAATAAATTAAAAACGAATTGTATTCTCCAAATATTACCAAATATGATATGCGAGAAAGTGAATGAGACAGACGGAATATGTAAAATGATGCAAAGTTAGGGGACACAACCAATAGTAATAAAAATACTTCCTTCATTTTTTAGTTGCAACGGTCAAATTTGTACATTTGGCAACTCACATTATTGACCATAACATGTCTTGTTCTCTATCAGTAAAAAAAATAAAAAATAAAAATTGAAACAGGGGGTTAAGGATGTTTTTTTTTGGACTGAAATTTGCTGGTCTGGTCTGGTCTGGTCTGTTTAAGTCTGGTCTGGTCTGGTCTGAATTGGTCTGGTCTGGTCTGGTAAACGTCTGGTCTCTGTGTATTTTATAACTGTCCAAGTCTGGTCTGGTCTGGTCTGTTTAAGTCTGGTCTGGTCTGGTCTGGTCTTTTAAAGTCTGGTCTGGTCTGGTCTGGGACTGAAAACAGCCCAAAAGAAAACAACTGGCGTTAATTCTCTAATTGCACATTTTTGATCGTCTTATTTATATTCTATGCTCCTATAGATCAACTAATTTACAAAAATAAATACTTAGTAGTGTTTATGGTTAAAAAAGAAATGAAGTTAATTCTTAGGAGCAATTTAACATTTGTAGTGCCGTTAAAGGGGTTCACCGTGAGTGAGGGGGCAATTGCCCTCCTTTGAGGGATTTTAAACATATTTGCCCACAAAAAAAGTTTAAGGGTACGGATACCCTTTGGTGGCAACTTGAAGGGGTTTTTTGCCCCTTTTCCCTCAAATAAAGGCTCTATCTTGAAGAAGCTTGTCATTCAGATCCATCGGTGTGTTAGTAGTGTACCTTGTCATGCTTGTTGCTTCAAAAATATCCAAGGCACACTCTGATTTCACTGTTAATGTCCATAGGCATGACAAATGTTCTTGATTTTAATTATGGAATTTCTGGAATACATAAATATCAAAATTATTTGTTTTTCCCTTTCAAGGGTGACATGAACAGTAGAACCCAGAACCCTATTGGATGCATTGGAGGATGGATGCTCCACTTGACCAGTTGACCCACACCTTCTTGTCAGCTCAAAACAACATTCTTCAAAGAAGGTCCAGTATTGCATGAAAAGTCATTTATAAAGAACAAAAAACGCTGAAAAAACAGATGGATGATGAAATGCTTCCCAAGTTCCCATGTATCACTGTGAATAGGGGTGAAAGATTTGGTAGCATAATTGCTGTTTCTATTAGGATATAAAGCGCTTACTTATTTTCACCAATTGAGACGACTTGCATTATAAGGACTTCAAATCAATTAGACTTAGAACAATGGTATGAAACTTCTGAAAACTAGAATTTTACAAGTTGGAATAAGTTACTCTTTTGATTTATGCTTGCTGTCGAAAATTTACCCTCTGCAAAGAAATATGGTAGATATATAATGCATATCTATTGCAACTATAAGTTTGCAGCTGCTAAATCAAATTGTTTATAAATTGCCCCCAGAACATCCAGTTGCAAGTGTTAGACCTTTACTAGATTCTCTTGGTCACACCCCTCTTCAGGTAAAATTATAATGCCTGTACATTTGATTTATTCGTGCGAGTCCTTGCATGTTGAAATAAATATGCTAAACTATGTGCCTAGTTAGTTCTTCCCCCTTTGATGAAAAACAGGAAGATAATCTTCTTTGACCGAATTGGTTCAGGTTCTTTCTGATGCTTTACTTCGATGCCTAGTTTCATATCTAATGAGAAGATCGACTTAGTGACTAATTCTGAAACTCATCTGGGTTTCCGCTGGCACATCATTACTCTCTTGTGTATTTTAGACTTGGTAGAGAGAGTAGGGATCAGAGGTTTGATGGATTCGGGTCTGGTGGAGTTAATTTCACATGGAGATACTCCATCACAGTCCAGATAGAATCTAAATGAAAAGGCCAATTTTGAGATTTCATATGGACGATTCCTGAGGTAACTTGACTCCGCAAGATCCATGAACATTGTAAATAAAATTATAAGAAAACTTGTTTCTATTTAAAATTTATGGCTTAAGTAGACAATAGTGCATTATAAAGTATAAACTATACACAATTTTAGTGCAGAAAAATATTTCAAATTACTATCAACATCATGATTGTATTTTTACAAAATAGAACACTAAAATAGATTTTAAATTTTGGAAACACAAGGGCTTTGCCGCTTTAAAAAAAACAAAACTGGCCTAGATTAGGAGATCTAATGCTATGTCTCTTCACAGTTATTTTGGTTGCTGGCCAGGATTGTTATGGAATCTTATTGATAATACATTTTTATTTGAGAATATTAGGTTTTAAATAGTACTCTGTATGTTATACTAGTAGGCTAATAGCATATATGCATGAGTGTAGCTAGCAGGGGCAACCTAGACCCTGGCCCATCCCAAATTTCATTTTTATTTAAATTATTAAGGTAAACAATTGTGTAAAAAATTCAAAAATATTCTTTGTACCGACAGGTCAACCCTAACATAATGCCCTGCACATATGCAATTTTTTAGTTGACACCAGGTTATGTTTTCCCACAGGAAAAATAAGTTGAAGATCTCTTTCGATGATTGTAGTCATTGAATAGTGTGAATGAAGTATAATAGCGCTTATGCCTCATCAATAAGTTGATTTCTTGGCTGGAATGAACCCAACAATTTGGATATGCTTTAGTCATAAGACTTATTTTCAATAATGACGTATAACAGATTAACAGATAGTCATTTAGAACCATATATCGCTTCACAAATGTAGAGCCCTTGGAGGCTGAGATTTTAAATGTGGGTTTACAAACCAAACTTATTTTCATCAATTAATGTGCATGGCTAAAAGTACATATTCTTTATGGCAATCTATGTGTAATCAGTTTAGTATTTTAGCTTAATATATTTTTAACCAACCATACAATATTACACAATCTGAATGATGATGATGATTAGTAAATAAACTTGTGTGGGCCATAATATAACCACATGATATAGAAAATAATGTCATGCAACTATTATTGAATTCGCGTGAAAATCAAACGGGGTTTCCAGTTTCCACATTTGATATTAGAGTCATTGTCATATATAACTCTTAGTAAAATATAAAATATAATTAGCAGCAGCTATTCTTTTCTTTCCTCAATAATATAATGTCTAATATTCAGACTTTCATTTAGATTTGTACGTAATTATAGTCAATTTTATTCAGGCTAGTAAATGACGATATTGAAAGAATGATAAAAAGTTAATGATCAAACAACCTCGAAAACGGAAAATGCAAAATGCCATTCTTTTTCACAGAAAACGCTGCTTATTGCAGTGGTTGGGGGCTTGGGGCAGAACTGCTGAAAACGTACCAAACAACCCAAAAAACAGGATTTACTATTCACTCACATTTTTTAAACTAAATTTAAATTTAAATGACTTCATTGTTTCTTTCTGCACTCCTACAAAAGAAGTAGAGGCAGTGTACGTAGAGCTATGCTATAGGTACTCCAAAATGAGGTATCCCATTTTTACCCCACCCTAATGGGTGGCCATAAATGGAATAACTCATTAAGGGTCTGTTTGCAACAGCTTTTACTTTTTAAATAGTGTTTTTTTTAATGAAATGAGGAGAAGTGATTAAATAAAAGTTGATAGTGTTTGAGAAAAAAGTGATTTTAAAAAGTAAAAGTGGGTAGTGTTTGGTAAAATAAGTGTTTTTTGTGTAATAGAAAAAGTAAAAACACTTTTGACGCGGAAGCCGAGAAAAATAAAAGTTGTAGTTTTTGGGAAAATAAGTGTTTTTTTAAAGCCAAAAGCTGAGAAGTGCTTTTTTAAAAGGAGTTGCAAACCAACCCTAAGTGGCGCCTCACTTAAATGAGTTGCCCTATTTATGGCCACCCACTAGGGTGGGGTAAAAATGGGTACCCCATTTTGGGATACCTTTAGCATTTTACAAAGAAGTACTAGTATCAGCTTATTTTCTTGGGCCTAGAAAAGTCATATTGAAAAGACAATTAATCCTAGGATTATTAGCTAAAAATATCTCCAACTATCATCAAATTAACAAATCTATTTCATACTTTCACTTTTATTATGAAAAAACTCAAACTTCAATTTTTCTCACAATTACACTCAATTGATAAATTAGTAAAACTTAAGAAGAAAATCATATTTATATTTCATACTTTTTCACTTCTTTGTAGTTTTAAGTTTACAAACTTGTATTGCTTATATCTTACTAGTATTGATAAAAGGAGTAATTTGAGTTTGCATCCCATTTTATTGCCCAAATTGGACTTTGCACCCTTTTTTAAAGAAACTTTGTATTTGCGCCCCAACCCCGTATGAAAAGACAAAAATACCCCTCCATTAACAATTCTGTTAGCCTTCAACATATTCCTCATTGAGGGGCATTTTTGTCTTTTCATACGGGGTTGGGGTGCAAATACAAAGTTTCTTTAAAACAGGGTGCAAAGTCCAATTTGGATAATAAAATGGGGTGCAAACTCAAATTACCCCTTGATAAAAATATGTAATTTTGAGAAAAAATAAGCATAATTTTTAAAGAAGATGAAGTTTGAGTCCTTTTTAAGTGAAAGGACGGGATAGATTTGTGAGTTTGATGATAGTTTGGGATAAAATATACTAATAATTCTTAATCCTATTTGTGAAATATCATGCATGTTCTACACTTCAACTCAATTATTTCTACAATTTGTAATTTTTTGGAGGGAAAACAATTAATGCGTTTACTGCCCTAACGGGTAACCACTACCCGGCCATGTTAGTTCAGGTTGATCAGTGGGCCTATCATAAAAAATACAAGGAGCACAGCCTAGACACGTATACACGGCTCCTTTATACAAAGGCTACAAGACTTTAAATGTTCTTTAGGCTGTATAACTATTCTCTCTAATTAGCAGATTAAGCATGCCATGGAAGAAATCTATTAAGCTTATATTAGAAGTATATAATACTCCCCTCCCCCCACACTTCCTTTCCAGATTAACTGCCTGAAGAAGGAAATTAATTAAAATGGACACAAAAAACAAGTCTCAAATCCTAAACCTTCTTCTTATAACGACTCTTCTCATCATTGCCCCGCTCTTATCATCATCGTCATTAAGGATCTCTTGTCTCTACTTTGTGGTCAATCTTCTCCTCATTTATCTTGGTGCTGAAGCTGGCCTCCTCTCCTTGCCCAAGGAAACTACACATCATGAAGACGAACAGAATCATTCCACCAAAAACCCACGACTCATCATCACTACTAGTTTGCAGCAGGTGGCGGATAGTGTTCCTGACCAAAAGAGTGACCAAGAAACAATCATTGTTGAAGAGGTAAAGAAAGTAGTAGATGAGAAATGTGGTTCTGAAAAGCTAAAGTTTGTTGGGAGTATTATTAATGGAGATAAGAGTAGTTCAAGGAAATGCTCATCATCAATACCAAACTTGTTTTTCGTTGGTGGTTGCGGGGATCAGGTGGCTGCTGAAGAAGGCGATGAAGGTGGCTTTGTGGAAGAAGAAGAAGAAGACAAACAAGTAGGAGAGCTTAGTGGGCAAGAGTTATTTCATAAAGCTGAGACATTCATTATGGATTTCTACAAACAGTTGAAGATGCAGAGGGAGGAGTCTTACTTGGAGTAGCTAGCTAGGCTTACTTCAAGCTACATATATACACCTTTTTCATGTCTCTACAAATAAAAAGGGAGAACAGTATTATGAATCAGAACCCGATACACTCAAATAGAACCAACATTTTTTCACTTAAAAAAAGTTGAAGCTGTTTTTGTTCTCTTAAACGGATTCAAGAAATCATTTTTTGAGAATAAAAACATATTTGATCCTGCAGGACTTGGTTTATGTTATAGTTCTGTTTTAGGTACTTTGTTCGCAGACTATACGAAGTCACAATCAAACAGATTGGATCTCAAACTTAACACATGCAATCAAAGCAATAAGAAAAGTAAAAGACACACGATATGTTGACGCAGTTCGGAAGAAAACCTTCCTAATCTGCGGGGTTTCAAGAGGGGAAACCCGGTCCCAAATTCCACTAGCTCAGATATACAATAGTTCACAATCAAAATGGTTGCAAAGCAATCAAGATTCAGTACATGCAATCGGTCAGAGATATCACTCACGAAACAAATAAAAGAAAGAGTTCAGAGTTAACCGAATGAAACCCTAAGGCTTCAGAAGATAACTGCCGCGCTCCAGTTCAAGACCTCGTATCAAGTTCTCCTCTGTTTCCTCCGATTTCCAGGAATCCTCCTCTTTCTCTCACCGTTCTTGTTAAGATCAGGCTCTCGCGCAGAAAACCAGCAGCGGAACAATGCTTTCTCACTCTAGAACTCAAGGTTCTCAGCCTCTCTTTCTCTGTCTAGGGTTTTGATTATGAGCTCAAAACTTGAAGGCTCAAGAGACAGAAGTCGCTTATATACTTAGGATCTCCCTAAGTATTAAGCGTACCGGGATACTAAATACAGAAGGCTTAGTCCGGAAGCAACCCGGACAAAGAAAGGAAGGAGAACACAAAAGCTCTAAGCCCAACCCAATAACATAATACTTAAAATGATTGCTTTGCCATCCTATCTAAAATTGTAAACTAAGACACAATTAGAGAATTAGGATTACTAATCTCAACATACTTTATTGACATGGAGGTAAAACCATATTATCAACCACGCTCATTGTTTAAGTATTTATTGTAGTAGCACGCGTTGGGATCAAGACATCTCCATTGCTTGTCTGACCTAAGGTTGAAGACAGTATTTGTATTTCTGCACGTAAGCAGCACTATTGGGAATACATTACAATGTCATATATTTGGCTTCAGTTATGTTGGTTCTTGCGGTGCGAATGGAAGGAAAGGTTTCCTTTTCTGAAAATACAAGTATTAGTGTAGTCCTGCACTCCTGCAAGGCATATAAATAGGATTTACATCATAATGAACCCAAGCAATAATAGTCTAAGTTTATTTTTTAATACCCCTCACGTTGGATCATATATGGTTAACATGCCCAACTTGGAGGAAGAAAATGAGAGTGGGTCTTTCTCAAAGCTTTGGTGGAAATATTCACCATTTGCATAGATGAATCTAAATGTATACTGTAGTATATTCTTTCAATTTCCGAGAAATCGATCAACGGCTCAACAAGGAATTAGCCCACGATTAATACAAAGATATCAGTATGCTGCTACATGAGCAAGCTTGAAAATGTACATGGGAAAATATCATCACTCAGAAACATTTTCAGCCAAACTGAGTCTTAAGATGAAGGAGTTGAGACTTTAATTTAATTTGCAAAGTGAAAAAGTGGACAAGCTATACCAAAAAGCTGCACACAGCAGCGTGTCCCAATTAGTTTTTGGAGTAAAAGGAAATGTTCTAAGAAGCTGTTTACCAAATGTATGTTTTGGCTGGTCAAAAAATCAAATCAGCTAAATACGGTGATCCCAAACAAAACCTACTCTATCCCAAGTAAAGGTTCCCGTCAATTATTCTTGGTCAATGTAAATGGTTCTTAATATTTTCCTTTATGTTTCCAACTTTTATTAAATTTTACTTTTTTTCCAACTATATAAAACTTTTAATTGTTGAAGTTAGTGGTATGGTGACTCAAAGAATGGAACAAAAAGTCTATCTAAAATCCTGTGTTAGGATATTTTATTAAGGCCCTACTTATCTTCTTATCTTTTCTTACAACCTAGCCACTAGGAAGAAAGAGTGTAAGACCACTTGCCCACTTGCTTAGCAAGTGGATGGTTGTTTCCTACTGAAAACTTGTAAGACTTGGAATCTATAAATGCTGAAAGATGATGAAATAAAAATTCAGCAAGCTATTATCAAAAGCCTTCTTCTTTCTCTTTACATTTTTCTCTATTCTTTGCATTCTTGCTCTTAGTCTAACACACAAAATTCCTACAGTTGGTATCAGAGCACTTTAAGTGATCTTTGAGAGGCTGTGAGGTGAGTGAAACACGAGTGAAAGTGAGGAAAACAAACTGAGAAAAGAAAGGGAAAGTGTTGATGGCTGAATCAAAAGGTTTCATCATTGCTCCTCCTATTTTTGCAGGCCAAAATTACAATATTTGGGCTGTGAAAATGGAAGCTTTTTTGAGAGCTCATGATTTATGGGATGTTGTAGAAACAGATGTAGATCCAGAGCCCTTGAGAGCAAATCCCACAATTGCTCAAATGAAGCAACACTCTGATGCTGTTTCGAAGAAATTCAAGGCGGTGTCTTACCTCCATGCAGCTTTGAGTGAAGATATGTTTGTCAGGATCATGACAAACAAAACAGCAAAGAGAATTTGGGAAAAACTTGCTCAAGAATTCCAAGGAGATGCTAGGGCCAAAGGAATGCAGATTCTCAATCTAAGAAGGCAGCTTGAAACTCTCAAAATGAGAGATAATGAACTGGTGAAAGATTTTTCTGGTCGAGTACTAAAGGTTGTTACTCAAATGAGACTACTTGGAGAAGATGTCACTGATAAGAGAGTTGTGGACAAGGTGATGTGTTCTGTTCCAGAAAAGTTTGAGCACAAGATTAGCTCGCTTGAGGACAGTAAAGACATGTCAACCTTCTCTCTTGCAGAATTAGTCGGTGCACTTCAAGCCGTTGAAGACAGGCAAATCATCAGGAATGAAGGCTCTGCTGAAGGAGCCTTGCTTGCTCAATCCAAAGGAAAGCAGCCGAGTCAAGTTTCCTTTGATGAAAAGAAAGACAGAAAATTTCAGCCCGGAAATTCTAGCAAAACAAGAGGGAAGAGAGCTACTTATCCTCCTTGCCCTCACTGCAAAAGAACAAACCACAGTGCTGATTATTGTTGGGTCAGACCTGGTGTGCAGTGCAAACAATGCAAAAAGTTCAGGCATGTTCAGAAAATCTGTAAGTTCAGAAATGATCAACAACAAGCTCAGAATGCTGAAGAACAAGAAGAGGCGGAAGAGAACCTTTTCATGGCTTCAACAGTTCAAAGAGGCTTGGTGAATCATCCAAAATCTGATTCATGGTTGATAGACAGTGGTTGCACAAACCATATGTCTCCTGACTTGAGTATTTTCAAGTTCCTTGATGAGAACTATCACTCAAGAGTGAAAGTGGGAAATGGTGAATTTCTTACAGTCAAAGGAAGAGGCACTGCTGCAATCAAAACTAGTTAAGGTACTAAAGTTCTTCAAGACGTGCTTTATGTGCCTAATATTGCTCAGAATTTGATTAGTGTGGGGCAACTGGTTGATGCTGGTTTCTCGTTGGCCTTCCATGATAATATTTGTGATATTAGTGACAAGAGTGGCGTGGTAGTTATGACTATTAAGATGCATGATAGAAGCTTTCCTCTAGAATTGAAGAATGGAGATCATGTAGCCTATCCTAGTGCAGTTTCTAAGTCAAAATTACTGCATAGTAGGCTGGGTCATTGTAGCTACACAACTATGTCACAAATGCACAAGCATAGCATGGTTGAAAACATGCCTTCCGTTGTTAGTGAAGATGGCGTGTGTTGTGTTTGTGAGAAAGGAAAATCCAGCAAGAGTTCATTCAACAAAGATGGAGTGAAGAGGGCCAAAGATAAGCTGGAGCTCATTCATTCTGATATTTGTGGTCCTATGAGTGTTGAATCACTAAATGGAAGCAAGTATTTTTTATTGTTTATTGATGATTATAGTAGGACAACTTGGTGCTACTTTCTGAAGCAAAAATCTGAAGTGTTTAATCACTTTGTTGCTTTCAAGAAAGCAGTTGAAAAAGAAGCAGGGAAAGTGATTAAAGTTTTCAGAACTGACAACGGTGGAGAGTTTTGCTCTCATCAGTTTGAATCTTTTCTGAAGGATCATGGCATAGTTCATCAGAAAACCAATCCTTACACTCCTCAACAAAATGGTGTAAGTGAAAGGAAGAATAGAAGTGTGATGAATATGTCCAGATGCTTGATGTTTGAAAAAGATCTTCCAAAACAGTTTTGGGCTGAAGCAGTCAACACCGCAGTATATTTACTCAACAGAATCTCTACCAAGTCTTTAGACAACAAGACTCCATATGAAGCTTGGTCTGGTTACAAACCCAAACTAGATCACTTGAGAGTGTTTGGCAGTCCATGCTACACTCATGTGCCTGATGTAAAGCGAGACAAGCTTGATGCTAGAGCTGTGGTTGGTATTTTTATTGGTTACAGCTCTATTACAAAAGGTTACAGGGTGTTTAGTTTGAAAACCAAGAAAGTGGAGGTGAGTAGAGATGTCAGAATAGATGAAGGCTTGAAATGGAATTGGGAAAAGATGGCAATAGAAGAAGATGATCAATTTGATGATGTTCTTGAAGCTGCACAACCTGAAGATGCACTCGAAGATGCTGAATCCGAGCGCATTGATCATGTTCCAATCAGAGGAACTAGATCCTTGAATGATGTCTATGCAAGATGTAATCTCTCACTTCATGAGCCGACTAGTACTGATGAGGCTCTTGAAATAGAAGTTTGGAGACATGCGATGCAGGATGAAATTTCAGCAATTGAAAAGAATGAAACGTGGAAGCTTGTCAACCTACCCACTGAAAAGAAAGCAATTGGAGTAAGATGGATTTACAGAACCAAGCTCAATCCTGATGGCACTGTATCCAAATACAAAGCCAGACTAGTTGTTAAAGGGTATGCTCAGAATCCTGGTGTTGATTACTTTGAAACATTCTCTCCTGTTGCAAGAATGGAGACCATCAGACTGCTTCTATCATTAGCTGCACAGCAAGGATGGAAGGTATGCCAGTTGGATGTCAAATCTGCTTTCTTAAATGGCTTCTTGCAAGAGGATATTTATGTTGAACAACCTGAGGGTTATGTTGTTGCTGGTTCTGAAAGCAAGGTCTACAAGCTAAATAAAGCTCTTTACGGGCTTAAACAAGCACCTAGGTCCTGGTATGATAGACTTGATGCTTGCTTGATTGAAATGGAGTTTGAAAAGAGTAAAAATGAAGCCACACTATACGTGAAGGAATTGAATCAAGACATCTTGATAGTTTCAGTGTATGTGGATGACTTGTTAATCACTGGAAGCTCCATAAAGATGATAGATCAGTTCAAGTCAGAGATGAAGAAGAAATTTGACATGAGCGACTTAGGCTTAATGTCTTATTTCTTAGGACTTGAAGTGGTACAGATGGACTGTGGAATTCTGATCCATCAAAGGAAGTTTGCTACTGAAGTGTTGAAGAAGTTTGCTATGTCAGAATGCAAGCCAATTGGGACACCATTGGCGACTGGTCAAAAATTCTTCAAAGAGGATGGCACTGAGAAAATTGACAGTAAAATATATAGAAGCTTGATGGGGAGCTTATTGTATTTAACTGCATCAAGGCCTGATCTTGTGTTCTCAGTCAACCTACTCTCTAGGTTCATGCATTCTCCAAGTGAGCAACATTTCAAAGCAGCAAAACGGATTTTGAGGTATGTGCAAGGCACTGCTGATTATGGTGTGTTTTATGGCAAAAATCCAGTTAATCTAATTGGATTCACTGATAGTGATCTTGCTGGCTCTGATGAAGAAAGCAGAAGCGTGTTTGGCTACTGTTTCTCTCTTGGTTCAGGCATGATTAGTTGGAAGTCAAAGAAGCAATCTGTTGTTGCTCAATCAACTGCTGAAGCTGAATATATTGCAGCTTCCAAAGGAGGAAATCAAGCTGTCTGGCTAAGAAAAATTCTCGTTGATTTGAAATTGGAGCAAAAGAATGCAACTGTGATGTTCTGTGACAGTAAAGCCGCCATTGCCATCATCAAAAATCCAGTGCTTCATGATAGAACGAAGCATTTTAAAATCAAGTTTCACTCCGTAAGGCAGCTGCAAAACGAAGGTGATATTGATCTACAATTTTGCTCATCCGAAGAGCAAACTGCTGATATACTCACTAAGATTCTGCCAAAACACAGGTTTGATGTTCTGTGTGAAAGACTTGGAATGCGAAGACTTAGCTCCATGGGGGAGTGTTGAAGTTAGTGGTATGGTGACTCAAAGAATGGAACAAAAAGTCTATCTAAAATCCTGTGTTAGGATATTTTATTAAGGCCCTACTTATCTTCTTATCTTTTCTTACAACCTAGCCACTAGGAAGAAAGAGTGTAAGACCACTTGCCCACTTGCTTAGCAAGTGGATGGTTGTTTCCTACTGAAAACTTGTAAGACTTGGAATCTATAAATGCTGAAAGATGATGAAATAAAAATTCAGCAAGCTATTATCAAAAGCCTTCTTCTTTCTCTTTACATTTTTCTCTATTCTTTGCATTCTTGCTCTTAGTCTAACACACAAAATTCCTACATTAATGTAATTCCTAATGTGTAAATTTATTTCCAAAAATTTTACTTATTATTGACAAGAATCAGTTAATTAACTTTGTGATCATTCAAATATCCCAAACCGACATAAACCTTTTAAACTTTATACGCAACATTGGTGTCATATGAAAGAAAAAAATTTATAAATTTTGATATATTTTTTTGTAAAAATTGGAGTACAAATAAAAAGGTTATAACCCTTTAAAATTGGGATTTTTATTTTCCATGAGCTCCGCAACTTTTCTCGCCAGTCTACTTACTTCTTCCTGCACATACGGGTTCTTTCCTCTCTTGTGTGAATCAAGCCAGGGCCATCTTTTAGGAGGTGCAATAGGTGCTTGGCACCGGGGCCTACTCTTGTGGGGGGGCTTTCGAAAATTTAGAATGTAGTGTTAGTAATAGGTTGATTTTTCTAGATATTATGTGTTATTCAAGTATTCAAGATTCCAAAAGGTATATAACTTTTAGATTCTCTAATTTGTTTACTTTAAACATCATAAAACTTATACTCCCTCCGGTCATAAATAATCTTCACACTTTCCTTTTTAGGCCGGTCCAAATTAAACTTCACACTTCCAATTTAGGAAAGTTTTTAATCTGAAATACCCTTTATATCCCTACCCATTTACCCCCTCTGTTCGGCCCACCCCTGCCAGTTTTATTCGCCCTATGCGCTCCATTATCTCTCTCGAACCTCTTCTTCTTCTTCTTCTTCTTCTTCTTCTTCTTCTGCTCCTCCTCCTCCTCCTCCTCCTCCTCCTCCTGCTCCTCCTTCTTCTCCTCCTTCTCCTCCTTCTTCTTCTGCTTCTTCTTCTTCTTCTTCTTCTTCTGCTTCTTCTGCTTCTCCTCCTCCTCCTCCTCTCTTCTTCTTCTTCTTCTTCTTCTCCTCCTCCTCCTCCTCCTCCTCCTCCTCCTCCTCCTCCTCCTCCTCCTCCTCCTCCTCCTCCTCCTCCTCCTCCTCCTCCTCCTCCTGCTTCTCCTGCTTCTCCTCCTTCTCCTCCTTCTTCTTCTGCTTCTTCTTCTTCTTCTTCTTCTGCTTCTTCTGCTTCTGCTCCTCCTCCTCCTCCTCCTCTCTTCTTCTTCTTCTTCTTCTTCTTCTTCTTCTTCTTCTTCTCCTCCTCCTCCTCCTCCTCCTCCTCCTCCTCCTTTTCCTCCTCCTCCTCCTCCTCCTCCTCTGTATTCCATCGCCCTCCACCGCCTCCAACCTCATAACCTCCATCGCCACCCCTCCTTCTCCTCACTTCCATCGCCATCCCTCCTTCTCCTCACTTCAATGGATCCCAAACCATCACCCCCCGACAACCCTAAGGCGGCCCAGCTTCCCAAACCCACACACGCTGCAAAGATTGGACCCTCATAATCCGAGAGTAAGTCGTGTGTAAATCCAGAAGCTGTGATTGGATCCTCACTTCAATTGTATGCAAATAGATACCACGAGTCAGATCCCTTCAGACTATTCATAGTTCGATTTAGTTCTGAAAGCTCATCTAAAACAGATCTGAACTGGCGTTTGCGTAAGAAATACAGATCCAACCTTGTTTCCGATACATTCGACGGTTTGGAAGGCCTGAATTCAGAAGATGGAGACGAAGTGAACTCAGGACCGGCGCTTGATGGTGGGGAAGAGAGCGACGGCGGCGGCGGGGAAGATGACAACGGCGGTGGGGAAGACGACGACAGCCAACACACTCCTTAAGGACAGTAATATCTGAACCCTTGCTCTTTTTGTCTTTGATGATTGAGGGGTGTTGTGTTGGGCCATTGCATGATGATTGAACGGTTTGGCTTTTTATGTAACTAATGATGAATTAAGGGTTGTGATTGAACTGTGATGGGTGTTTGTGCGTCTGGGAATGCTATTAAGCTGGTGGTCAGTTCTGCTTGCCTGGGATATGTAACTTATGTTCATGCTTATGTGTGCTTGCCTATGCTAAAATACCCATGATGAAAATGTGATCACTCTATATTGATTCTGAGGTGTGTTAGCTTAGGATGTGTAACCTCCGAGCATGATTATCTGTGTTTTCCTATTGTAAGTGACCTGTAATGAATCTGGGATGATTCTGAGGTGTGTTTGGTATGCTAAAAGACCTGTGATGTAAATTGTGATTACTCTAAATCCATTTTGAGGTGTGGTTGCTTAGGATCTGTAACCAGTGATCATGATTATATGTGTTTGTCTATAATAACTCACATGTGATGCAAATGTGATTAATATGTGATTATTCTGAGGTGTGTTAGCATAGGAAATGTAACATGTTATCATTAATATATGTGTTTGCCTATGCTACAATACCTGTGATATTCTGTGATGATAATCTGTGATAACCTGTGATATGGACGTGAAAATTGTTAGCATGATTATCTGTGTTTGCCTATAAAAACACACAAGTGATGAATCTTTGATGAATGTGTGGTATGTTTGTACAAAAATGTACATTAAAATATGCTTCCATTGCTTCTTTTTAGACAAAAATGTACACTAGCAGTGGGGGTACATTAAAAAATTGTATGTCATGCCTTTCATTGTACATACAAAAACAGTACACCCCCATTACTTATAAGCTTAGTGTACTTACCCAAAAAGGTTCAAAAACTATACTAAATAGGGTGTTTACTTTATACTTGAAGCTGTTGTTCATCTTCATGTATGAACTGAGACCCTTGATTTCTATGTGTGGATTTTGTTGCCATATGTCCATCCATGAATGCTTTAGCTGTTTGATACAAGTCAGGGGAGATGTGGACATTTTTTGGTAACAACCCTTATCTTTGAAACTTGTCCATCCATGAAGCTTTCACTTGTTGCCTCCTCTGTGCTTTAAGATTTCCTCCATTACATATTGATAGCTCAAAAACACTTTGTTTAGTGTTTGAGGTGTCAGCTCCTCATATGAGACTTGCACTGCCTGTATTACATCCACGATATTTTTGGGGCCTTTTGATCCTTTATGGAATCAATAGCTCTAAAGAAACCTAGGACTAAATCATTTAAATCATAACTATTAAGGACTTGACATTGTAGTTGGATATTCCAGCCATTCTCTATCCTTGATTTAACAAAGCCTGCATCATTTATTTGAATATAAGGCCTGACATTATCTTTTTGTATTATCACTTCCTTGTTTGTTGTGTTTGGCCACTTGGATTTGATTGCCGGTAGTAGGGTGTTCATTATCATTTCTTTCATTACTTCCCTAGTCACACTTAATATTTGTTTGGTTTTTAAAGTCCCAGCAGCCCTATTCTTGCTTGATCTCTTGGTTGTATCTTGAAATGTGAATGGAAATATCTCTATCTTTCCATCCCACTCCACCTCCCCACTGTCAGCAATCCTAGGTCTGTCAACTGCAGCCAGGAACATGATTTTGGGTATAAATTTCTTTGATTGAGCTGTTCTATATGGATCTTCTTCTGTGAGAAGGGTGTAAAAACTAGTAGTTTCCTTAGATAAGTAAAACCACTTTTCATCTATGTGAACACAATCATGAAAATCATGAAATGTTGTTGTTGTGTCCACTGATTGAGGAATTATTTGACTTAAGCAAAAAGTTAACCTTTTCAGTTTCCCTGCATCTGTTAGCAGTGGTTTGATTGCACTTGAATGTCTAAATATTTGCTTCCTCTTGTACCACATTTGCACAATTGTTTTATATTCTTCCATTGCATATGCAAGTGCTCTCTGATTTTTTCTCTTATGTAAGGGAATCTGGGAAAGCTTTTGTATGTCAAAATTGACTCTTTTTCTGCCAACATTCCCCTTCATCCTGCTTTCCACTTGTACAACATTTCCCATATGCATGTCTTCCTTTGCTTTAGCCCATATGCTATGAATGGTTCTGGTGGAAACATTAAGCTTGGTGGCCAATTTTGTTATTACACCCCTCTGAAGTTTACCTTCAACAACCTCACCCAATAACTTGTCAATTATCTTGCTGCGAGTTTCACAGGTCAACTTAGGCCATTTTTTGTGGCCTGGTTGACTGGATGGACCCCCCTCCCTTCTGTTTCATCAGTTAAGTCAATAACACAAGTGAGTAATAGTGTGTTTTGTCCTGTAAGTTCACCTTTGGATTCTTCTTCAGAATGTGGGTCCGCACTTGGTTGGGCAGAAAGTATAATGGCAGAAGACTCCATTAAAGAAGGAAAAAAGTAGACGAAGATTTCTATTTTTAGAAGCAGTTGAATCTCTTTGATTAGTGTAATGAATGTGTTGTATTTATAGGTAGAAGTAGTAGCGTACTTGTAAAAGTTGAATTTTGGAGGGAAACCAAATATTCCCTCCTTTTTTGTTGAACGAAAACCCCTCTCTCCTTTGGAGAGAAGTTAGAACTGTACTACTGTAGTTGTACTTGATGGCAGCAGTTTGTCCGCATCATTCAATGGAAAGGTCTTCATTTTTTTTACTATGAATAGTAGGGGGTAATTTTCTTTTGGGGGTATAAATGGAAAGTCAAAACAAAAAATTCCACTTTCTTAAAACCCGTAAAGTCAAACACTGAATATTTTTTTAGGTCCGGAGGGATTATTTCATTGAATTATCTAATCTATTAGTTCATCATCATCATTACCTTCGGTGCGGTAAGGCGGGGTCGGTCGGTCGGATGTATGCATTCTTACCCTTCTAATAAAACACAAAGAGTCTGTTTCTGGATGATCCATACTGAAAATCGCGTTGAAAATTGCATGAACTGACTACTATTTCATAACAAAGATGCACAGACGGTTTAGTCAGTCATTTTGTTTTATTCCATCATATTCCCAAGCCCAAAAAATAGTGAGTCTTTGGCTC